CTGCTCAAATCATCTTACTGAAAATAAGAAATGATTTGTTGACTTTGAATCTGGTAAGAGGATAAATATTAGATGTGTTGATGATAAATACCTCAATGCTGAAGGTATGGGAAATGCCATAGTCGTTCTGAACAATGGGAAAACAACATTGATTCAGAAAGTGTAGTATGTACCTGGCATGAAAAGCAATCTGATGAGTGTGAGGCAACTAATTGAGAAAGATTTTTTAGTTACCATGAAGGACAATCTTCTGAAGTTATATGACTATAAACAGAAGTTGATTATGGAGTCAGAACAGGGAAGGAATAGAACATTCAAGGTGAATGTAAGAACTGCATACTCTGAATGTCTTAGTGCAACGAGTGTTGTGAAGGAAAGTGAGATGTGGCATAGAAGATTTGGTCATCTGAATCTCAGAAGCTTAAGACATCTAAATTCGAAGAAGCTGGTACATGAAATTCCTACAATTAAGAAGCCTGGGAAGTCATGCAAAATGTGCATGGAAGGAAAGCAACTAAGATTGCCATTTGCGTAAGAAGTAGCTCAAAGAGCAAAGCATGCTTTAGGAGTAATGCATTCTGATGTATGTGGTTCATTCCAATAGCATCGATTGGAGGGAATAAATACTTCATATTATTTGTTGATGAATTCACAAGAATGACATGGGTATCCCTTATAAAGTTCAAACACGAGGTGTTTGTTGAATTCAAGAAGTTAATAACGAAGGTTGAGAATCAGAGTGGTCAGACTCTGATGATTCTCAGAACCGACGATGGACGTCAGTATAACTCCACTGAGTTCAAAAAGTTCTGTGAGTATAATGGAATTGAGCATGAGGTTACTGCTCCTTATACTCCTCAACACAATAGTCTTGCTGAGAGAAGAAATTTTACTTTGCTTGATATGGCGAGAAGCATACTGAAGGAGAATAAGCTTCCTCATACCTTATGGGGAGAAGTCGTTGCCATCACAACATATATGCTCAATAGATGTCCAACGAAGAGGTTGAAGGAAATAATTCTTATTCAGAAGTGGATTGGAGATAAGCAAAGTGTTAACCATCTGAAGGTATTTGGTTCTGTATGCTACAAACATGTTCCAGGAGCCAGAAGATAGAAGCTGGATGATAGAAGAAAAGTAATGTTACTAGTGGGATACCACAGTACAGGTGCGTACAAACTCTATTGTCCAGAAACTAATAAAGTTGAATTTAGCAGAGACGTCATTGTAAAGGAATCAGAAACTGGGATTGGTACAAGTCTCAATCGAACTTTGATGTGAGAACTTCTGAAGAACGTTCAGAATTAGAAGTTTCTAAAGATGAGTCATAAACTGGAGAAGATTCTGAAGCTAGAGTAAACTCTGATGGTGATTCTGACTCTGAAGGAGACTCTGAAGGTAAATATGGTTTTGATCCAGATTCTAGTGGTGATTTAGATTCTGGTGATGATTCAGATTTTGGGAATATTCTAGGCTCTGAAGGTGGTAAAGGTTCTGGAGGAGGTCAAACTTCTGAAGCAAAAGCTTCTAAAGATAGAACATATGGAGTTCAAGCATCCGAAGGAGATTCTGAACGAGGTCAGAGGCCACAGAGAATTAGAAACATTTCGAGAAGATTTGCAGAGTTTGGCATGCTACAAGACACTGAAGTAGATTCTGAAGGAGAAGTTATTCAGTGTGCCATGTTAGTATACTCTGAACCTGTAAGCACGGAAGAGGCTCTTGAACAGAAAGTTTGGCTGAAGGCCATGAAAGAAGAACTTGATGCCATATAGAGGAACAGGACTTGGAAGCTGACAGAACTTTCAAAGGACAAGAAAACCATCATCGTCATATAGGTTTTCAAACAGAAGCTAAAGTCAGATGGATCAATTGGCAAACACAAAGCGATGTTAGTAGCAAGAGAATTTCTGCAAAAACCTAAGCTAGATTATTCTGAAGTGTTTGCACCTGTAGCTAGACATGAAACAATCAGACAGGTGATTGCAATAGTTGCTAATAGAAATTGGCTTCTGATGCATTTAGACGTGAAATCTGCATTTTTGAATGGTATATTACAAGAAAAGGTATACGTGTCACAACCTTCTGAATTTGTTAAAAAGAATCAGGAAGGGATGATGTACAAATTACATAAAGATTTGTATGGATTAAAGCAAGCGCCCAGAGTCTGGATTCTGGAGATTGATTCATTTTTCAAAGAGCATGGGTTTCAGAAATGTGAGATGGAGTACAATTTTTATGTTCGGCATACTTCTGAAGGCAATATGATTCAAATATGTTTGTATGTTGATGCATACTGCTGACAGGGAGTTCTGAATAAGAGATAGTTAAGTTCAAGAAGGTGCTAATGAATGAGTTTGAAATGACTGATCTCGGAAAAATGAAGTATTTTATAGGGATGAAGTTTATATGCTCTGAGAAGGGTATCATTTTGCATCAGCTGAAGTATAAACTTGAGCTTCTGAAGAGATTTAAGTTGCAGAATTGTAAGGCTGCTATCACACCTACAAATACAAATCAGATTCTGGATTCTGATTCTGATGGTGAGGATATGGATGCTACAACCTTCAAACAGTTGGTTGGTTATCTGAGGTACCTGTGTAATCCTATACCTGATATCTGCTATGCAGTTGTAATGGTTAGTAGGCTCATGAGTAAACCTAAGTGGTCCCATTACCAAGCTATTGTCAGAATTCTGAGGTATATCAAGGGAACTTTGAAGCATAGAGTGCTATTCCTTTCTAGAAGAAAGATTGAATCAGAACTTCTGAGTTATTCAGATTCTGATTGATGTGGAGACAGAGTTGACAAAAAAAGTACTTCTGGGTACTTGTTTAAGTTTCTGGGAGGTCCTATTTCTTGGTGTTCCAAGAAACATCCTGTTGTTGCATCGTCAACTTGTGAAGCTGAATATATCACAAGCACGGTGACTGCATGTCAAGCTGTGTGAATTCTGAACTTACTGTAGTATCTGAAGATCAAAGTTAACAAGCCTCTGAAGCTGATGATTGATAACAAGTCTGCAATCAATCTTGCCAGAAACCCAACGCTGCATGGGAGAAGCAAGCATATTCAGACTAAATATCACTTTCTGAGAAATTAGGTTTAGAATGGAGTGCTAGAAGTTGTGCACTGTAGCACCCAGAAGCAGTTGGAAGATGTTCTGACGAAGGCTATCAAGACCGATCAATTTCTTCGCTTAAGGGATGAAATTGATGTTGTTAGTTTTGGCTAAATATAAATTAAGAGATGGTGTTAGGAATAGTTTATATTTTATAAAACTTAGTGACTAAGTTTTGTTAGAGGGTAATTTAGTATTTTAGTATGTTGCCTATGTGACCCTAGTTTTTTTGTGAATAAATAGACTAGTGGTAGATGTCATTTAATGTAATTTTTTCTTACAACTCTGTAGTCGTCATTTTACAGAGTATAAATATATTCTCTCATTCTATTAATCTCTTTTAACCCTGTGCACCAGCAATATATGTATTTTCAAAACAAACTGATTCACATGCATTTTCAAAACAAGTTGGTTCACGTGCATTTTCAAGCTCATATGTTTTTTATATATATATATATAATTAAACAAGATGAATGACCAGATGATAAAGGCTTAAGCCAATTTAAAGAGAGTGTAAGTTCAAAATCCATCAAATGCGAAAGGTACTCATTACTCAGCATAGAAAGTATGCTCAATCTAGAAAGTGCCCAGTCTAGAAAATGTGTCAAGTTCAAAAGGTACTTGATATAGAAAGTGTGCCCATCCTAAAAGGTGCTCGATCCAGCGCACGTTCCAGAAGGTGGTCGTCCCCGAAAGTGCTCATTCTAAAAGGTGCTCAACCTAGAAAGCGTGTTCATTCTAGAAAGTGCTCGACTCGAAAAGTGTACCTAACTCAAAAAGTATATCTAGCTCAAAAAATGTACTTATCTAAAAAAGGACGCTCGACCTATCAAGTAGGTTAGTCCAATCAATATTTACTAATATTGTTGTAGGCTATTACATAACAAGGACCTGTTGGAGTCCCTAACATTCGTAGCAAATAGAAGGTTCCAGGTTCTTGAGAACCATAAGACCTCGTCATAAAAGCCTCATAAAGGCTTTAGATTCAAATACACACTCTTAAAACCTAAAAACATCGTCTATCTATGATAGTTACTGATTTAGGTATCAAAGTATTTGCAAGTAGCACCGCCGATGTCAAATCAAAACACTAGCCTTATTGAAGTCAACCACGAGATTCCGATTGACACGTCCATAAAACTACAATCTAAAGATCTACCATCATTGGTTATGAACCCAAATTTCATATGGAATATGATTAAATAATAAACTGATTAAATCAACATAATTATTTATCAACCATATTTTGTTAAAGTTTTTGTGGTTTATTTTACAGGGGTTGTTGGTACGTGTACTTGTTAGTGTTAGCGGTCGATACATTCACCATTTTTCAAAAAATGAGTTTGATTTCAAGCTTATCTCTAGTATTTTGAAGGCTTACGAATTTTTACACGTATTTCTTTAGTAATTTAGTTTCAAATTCCGCGTTGGGTTCACTAAATTGTGCTTTTGTGTGTAATTTTCGTTGTTTTTATTTTTATTTTTTATAGTAATATCCATTTTGCCCTCCCCAATTTTATGTACTTCCTTTTTTTTATTTATGATATTTTTCTTTTGCTTTAAAAAAAAACCTTAGTCACACCTATCTCTATTAGAACTATAAACCCTAAAATCCCAATTTTTACTAAAAGCTGTCATTTTTCATTCGCAATCAACGTTTTCCAAATACATACTCTAAACTAAATGTTATCCATCACCGTACTTCCAATCAACCTTTTCCAAATTCGCAATCTGTGACTTAAAAAAAAGTAGAAGAGATTATGATTAAGATTTCATAGTTTAGGGTTCACGTCAGAAGAGACGAACTCTAAATGCAACCCTCGCAGCGCATATTCAGGTCCTTCCCATTCGCAATCTGCCTTTAACCACTATCAGAACCATGAGTTCAGGTCCCTCGCAGCGCATGTTCCAGCTCAAGCTCAACCCTTTAACCGGTAACTCTGAATGGGTCATCATCGATGAAGACCGCGACGAACAAACCTTCGACCAATCTCTTCTCGCCACGACTTCGTATCTGGACATGCTCAATGATTCCACCAGAAACACTGCATTTCGCCAAGCCATTGAAAAAACCATCACCAAACCTTGCCACGTTCTCGATATCGGGTACTTGCCTTCTCTCAAAATTTGATTTTTGTCGCTTTAGTTTACTTATAATGTGATTGCTATCTTTAACTGTGTGCAGTGCTGGAACTGGGTTGCTTTCGATGATGGCTTCACGAGCTATGGGCGGGAAAGGAACCATAACAGCGTGTGAGTCCTATCTTCCTATGGTGAAGTTGATGAAGAAGGTTATGCGGGTTAATGGGATTGAAGGGAGAATCAAAGTTATCAACAAGCGTTCTGATGAACTCATTGTTGGTCTTGATATATCTTCACGGGCTGATGTTCTTGTAAGTCTCATTGCACTTATTCAGTTTGTGTTTTAGTACTTGGAGTGGCATTTTTTCAACTATCACTTATTGATTGTTAAATCCTGTTTAGGAAAAACAACTCAACTAAGCGATTATAGCATAAGCAGTCTTCATGTAAGTGTTTATGTATAGCTATTTTTATAACAAAAGATAAACTGAAGTCTAATCTTTTTTATAAGCTATCATAGATGACTTGAGGAAATGAGCTGAAATCAACTTCAGGACATGTCATAAGTTGTTTCAGTAAACCCTCTCAAAATGTCTCAGTGTCTGATAAGTGCTTATGCTAGTAGATATGTTCATATAAGCCAATCCAACCAGACCCTAAATATTCTAGCAAAGATTGTTTGTAAGATCGCATGGATGTGAGGGTAAATTGAAGGTAACAGAAGTGTCAAATTCGAACTTGTGGCATGCGTGGAAGACTTTTTATTTTTGTTTTTAAAATAGGTAGATTGATAGACTGATGAACTTATGATTTCGAGAGCCTAAGTTAGAGCTAATTTCTGCCATCTCATAAGATGTTGCTCTTTGAAGCAGTGCCTACATTGTTCACTTAGGAAACTAAATGTCATTATTGCAGGTGAGCGAGATATTAGATTCAGAATTATTGGGAGAGGGGCTTATACCAACCCTACAACATGCACATGACAATTTGTTGGTTGAAAACCCTCTGACTGTACCTTATCGAGCAACTACATATGGACAGGTTAACATGAAGATCCTTTTCACTGTATTATTCCTCTTTTGAGTTTATCAGAAGTTTCTGCCTCTTACCCCAATACCCATTTCAGATAGTTGAAAGCACGTACTTATGGCGATTGCATGATTTGAATAGCAATGAGGCTGGGTCATATGGTGGTGTTCAACTTGCCCCTCCTGGATTTGAAAGTGTTTTAAGTGTAAAACGTCAGCAATATGCCATGCATTGTGATTCAATAGGAGAAGAACTGAAACCGGTGTGTTTGAAAAGAATTCTGTAACTTACTTCATTAGAGTTTTATAAGTAACTTTCCTATTTAAATTAAGATCCATCCAGCTTTCAGAACCCTTCAAAATTTTTGAATTTGATTTTTGGAAACGGCCAGAGAGTTATGGAGAAACTGAGCTGCGCATAAAGGCAACTGTTGATGGCAGAGTTCATGCTGTTGTCTCTTGGTAATCATATATGCGTTTTAATACTACTTTCAGAGCATTTATTTCTTTTTAGTTTACAGCAATTCTTATGTCCTTCAGGTGGGAACTTCAACTTGATCCCGAAGGGACAATTTATTATTCCACTGCTCCTGGGTGGATAAAATCAACAACAGCTACAAGTGAGGTTTTGTTTGATATAATTTGTTGGTTAGGTTGTGTTGACTTGACTGTAGAACTAATACATTCCATTCCTATGTTTGCCTTGTCCCATGAGTATGAACTATATAAAAGCATATCACGGCATGTTTTATTTATAATTATAATTAGTATTTTAGAACCTTCATTGCTGATACTGCATTTCAACTTTCCTGCTTCTCCAGGTCCTGTTGATTGGCGTGACCACTGGAAACAGTGCGTTTGGTTTGTTCCAGGAAGTGGTATATCAATATTCAAAGGGGAAGAAGTTCATTTACATGCTACTCATAATGATACCAGTATCTCATATAATTTAGATCCCCAAGTGCCAAGATCCGAGGTTTTGCATAATGGATTAACGCCTGGAGATTTTCAGCTTGTACTTCCGCCAGAAAGAGTTGCAATCTATGGAGACAAAGGATGGAGGCTTTCAATGTTGAAAGCATTAGAGAATGTGGTAAGCTATTCATCCCTCCATCTCATGACATAGGATATGATCTTTCACCTGTATAAGGAATAAATCGTAAACAAAAACACCTGTTTGCTCTTCCTCTTATTCAACGTATTCTATTTGATTAAAATAACTGTCAATTTTTACAGTTGCAGGGAAGAAGTCGCTCATTATGCTTGGTGGCAGATGATAGTGTGTATTTACCTCTTCTCGTGGCAAAGCTTTCAGAAGCACCACATGTAATATCCTCTTTGGGGCTGAAGGATAGGGGACTCCAATATTTGCAAGCTGCTGTCCGTGCAAATAATCTGTCACCTAATTGCATGACAGTGGTTGAAAAAGGGGTGAAAAAGTTAACCATGCATGATACAAACCAGAAAAAGGTTGAACTTACCTAATTCCACTTGCTTGGCATGGCTTTACTTTGTATATATATGCATTTTAATTTCAAGTGACGTTAGAAATGTATCATAGATAACTTCTTTCATGCCTATGAAGCATACATGAAATATTTAAATAACGTTTCCCATGAACAAAGAGGCCCATGTATCATAGATTTGAACTGAACTGATTAATCTAGCAAACTGAGTGTTTCTTTGATGTTTTTTATGAAACATGATTGCATATGAAAGTGTTTCTTTGATGTTTTTTATGAAACATGATTGCATATGAAAGTGTTTCTTTGATGTTTTTTGTGAAACATGATTGCATATGAAATAATAATATATTTTTTCTTTTCTAACGCTTTATCTGGCTATTGTAGGCAAATTTGATTGTGTTTCTTGCTAGTAATAAACCATGTGTAGATTAGATAATTATTTTTGTTGTTTATTGATGTTTATTGGTTTTGTTTTAGTTTTCATTATTTGGAATTATTTATTTTTATTTACTAATTTGGGATTTTAGTCTATAGAATATTATCTTATTTCGGCTTAAAATAGGAATTACTTAGTGTGTTTAACTTCGGTTCTATAAAGAGACTTTCAATGTAAACATTCGAGATACTTTTGATTTTGAATTTCTTTCATGCAAAGAGTGTTTGATATTTGAGTCAGGCAGCACTTTGCCTTAAAGGAGTACTCTTTGGCCGTCCTATGTCAAAACTTTTCCTATTTATTTAATGATACTGTACTGAGATTTCAGATTGTATTAGCTGCATTTTAAGAAGGTATCATGTTCAATTGTTTGTTGAATGTAGTAGTAGTAAATAATATGTAAGTTGTATGTGTGACAGCAATTCCTTTTCATTAAATTTTCAGGCTATTTTTCCCTCTTTGAATTGCTATGATTTCTGAATATCTATGTTTATATGTTTGATCTGTAGGTTGACCTGTTAATAGCAGAACCTTTCTATTTTGGACAAGATGGCATGCTTCCTTGGCAGAACCTGCGGTTTTGGTATATTTCATTAGCTACTGTTGTAACCATTAACTTGATTTGCTACATCATATATGCCATAATGTCATGCTTTAATAAGTCTAAAGTATTCATAGTGTGTTTTATTTTGGGCGCTACTCCACATTTTGTTGCTTGTTTTGTTTAGGAAGGATCGTACAACACTCGATTATATCCTCTCTGAAGATGCTATAATAGTTCCCAATAAAGGAATTTTGAGGGCTCGTGCCACCTATCTTCCTGTAAGTTAAAATATCCATAAACTGTAGATTGATAATAAATTTTGGGAAAGCATTTACTTTTGTCTATACTATGGACTAAGAACATTACTGTACATGTGGATTGATGGGACAAACAATTTGCAGGATCTTTGGAAAAGTCGTTGCTGCTTGAGTAAGATAGAAGGTTTTGACCATTCTGGGGTAAACGCTACATTAGGAGCGTGCGGTCATTTACCTGAATTGGAAGAGAGTCCCTGTCTACCTTTTTTCCTTTGGCAGTGTGGAGAATTTGATGTAATTAATCTACTTAAAAATTCACGTGTTCGAAATAAGCTGACAATAGTGCGCTACCATCAATGAACTCTTATTGTGTATAACGTTTCAGGTGCTTAGTGAAACATTTGATGTGATGGAGTTTGATTTCACAAAGCAAATAGGCCAATGTCAAGGAAAATCCCAGGTAAGCTTTGAATGCATTTGCATGTTTAGCACCTAGCGTCGTAATTGTAAGGACTATGGCATCAAATGTCTATTTGCTCCCCAGGTTGTTTCTGTTGTAGCTTATTAACTGAACTAATTTTTTAATTAGCTATCAGAGGGCAGCATACAATGAAAAACCTGACTTAACTATTAGACAATTATAATCAGAAGCGATCTGTTAGAATAGTTAATTAGGATTTATGAGTTAGGAACAGTTAGAGAAATTAGGTAGTTATAAGGGAGATATCAGTTAGATAATTACGTACAATAAGTATTTATTTCATCTAACAGAAATGTTGATACCTTTATACCATATACAGAACAGAAACTTGAAAAAGCATTTCCTTCCTAAAATGCCATATCACAGGATTATTCAATTTTTTGTTGTAATAAATGTGTAATGCTCAATGTTACAAGTGTTGCAGGTTAAATTCACTAAGACTGGAGTATGTCATGGGTTTGTGTTGTGGATTGACTGGGTGATGGATTCGCAGAGTTCTGTTGTCATATCAACCGGTCCAGGTCATTCTCAGTTCCCTTTATAACTTTAAGGTGTATTGTATTGTGTAGACACATAAAAGCCGGACACTATCTGACAGTGTCTAAAATACAACTCGATATGTTGTGTTGAAACCAAATTGAGAGATAATAATGTAAAAATCGGAAACCATATATACACAGTGTTGATGTCAGATTGTGTTTGTGAAGCATTTATGTAATTTTACCGGCCCTCTGATGCCTCATTGCGATTCAAACATGCAGTGGTACAATATAATGAGCTATTGCTTATTCTTTCCATTTTATGACTGCAGATAAAAGATACTGGAAACAGGGAATAAAGCTTCTTGCAACACCTAGAACTGTAGGACCCCAAGAATTGACAAATCCCCGAGCATGTAGTTCTGCAGCTCTTGAAGCATTTTTTGATCCATCAAATGGGGAACTCAAAATTATACTTGATTTCTTATGATACTTTTATATAGAAAAGTATCCATCTAGCATCCAAATAAACTCCATATATGTACACTTCCAATTTGAAGACGGCAAAATTATTTATTGAAGTGTGAATTGATTGTGATACATTTGGATTTTTATTTAGCAGAATTGATTTTGCTTTTATAAATTCTAATTGTAAGTCAGAATTTGCTGTCTGTTTTTTTTTGTCGAATAATAAAAAACTTGTCTGAATAATTAATAAGAACCGGTACAAGTCCTATCCTCAGAATGCATAATTTTTGTGTGGTCTACTTACCAATAAATCATTATTGTTATTTTTTAATTATATTTTTAAATATTTATTATTCTCTTTCTTTTTAATTATTTAAATTTGTCTTTACAATATTTAATAAAAGATTAATTTTTAAATTGTAATTTCTCATTTTTTAATATTATTAATGAAAGATAATTTTCTAAACTTTTCGGTAATTTTTCTTTTTCATACTATAATGGTTTAATGTATCTTTTGGTTCTTTTAAGTTAATTTTATATTTTACTTTAGTCTGTTTTTTTTTAGTCTCTCAAATCATATCCACATTAGTCATTTATGTTAAATATTTGCAAAAATCGTTAAGTTTTGTATATGTGTTGCTCCAATTGGATTTATTTGGCTGATATGAAATTATTTTAATTTATTTAAAATATTTTGTTATTTAGAATTTATTAAAAATTATTTTATATATGAAATTCCTTTCTCCACTCTTCTTCGATCCCTAGCCGCCACATCTATCTCTTCTCTCTATTTCTCTTCTTTTTTTATTCTTCTCCTTTCTGCAATAACAAAAACAAGTTTTTCTGCTATAGTGTTCAATGTTCTTTATCAAAGTGAAGTGATTTTTAGATGGAAACTATTTTTAATGTTGTTTTGTTTTTCACATTGTAGCAAATGTTTTTCATCCATCCAACTGCTTTGTCGCTTTATTTAATGGTCACGAATGTTTCACTTGGATGATTCTGTTTTTAGTGTTGAAATTGAAATTGTTGATTCTCATTTCAAGATCATTAAATTGATTCTCTTCGAATTGTTGATTCTCATCGCAAGGTCATTGGATTGGTTGATTGCTTCACAAATATAAAGGGTAAAAATATTTTGCTATTTGCTCATTAATTTGTTGCTTGACTTGTCACTAATGTCTTTATAATTTGTTGCTTAATTAGATAATGCTCATTCTTAATATATGTGAAAACTAGAAAAAGAGATTATAATAATCGATATAGATGACCTATTTTTGTGATTGTCAAGGTGTTTCTGAGATGATTACTACACTATTTGAATTTTAGTAATTCATTTTTTATATATTTGTAATTGCTATTACCATTTCAATAAATTTCTATGTCTACTGATTTTTGGTGGAATAACACAAATGAGATATGATGCTTTTAGTGTATGCTCAATTGTCTCACTGAAATTCTATTTCTATAACAAATTATTTTCAGCTTCTTATGTCAATGCTTGTAGCAGTAGTAAAAAATTGGTTTAATACTCATGATATCTGTGTTTCTTTTGAGTGATATGTGTTTAAATGATCAAAATTAAAAAGGTAAATAATAATTATAACTTAAATTATTTTTTGAAATTGAAAATAATGTATAATTATTTATTTTCTTATAAATTAAAAATACCTTGAAAAGGGTGGTATTGGTGTTATCCAAATTGATGAGGCTGCCTTGAGATAGAGACTTTCATTGATATAATATTTTCAACATATCTAGAAGATTAAAATAGATTGAGTTTAAACTACCAAGTCATAAATATCAATTCAATCTAGGCCACAACTCTTTTTACCTCAACCAATTTCAAAGAAGAAAAGAAGACTTCACAATGATTAAAATAAATTTGTAGTAGTGTTTTTGTACACATTTTGTAATTCTGTGTGAATGTCTTATGTCATTTTGGAACATGTTTAATGTCATTTTAGTTTAATGACTTTGGTTTGAATCAAATAATGTAACAAAATTCTAGTTTAATGTCATTAAATTCAAGATTATGTAGATATGAAATCTGGTACGGTAAATAACAGATTATGGTCTGATAAAATGTTATGATATTTTATTTTGGTCACTTTAATCATAATTTGGTTACTGTTCAAGTCTGGTCCTTTAACTAACTATAAAATTTCAATTTAGTCCCTAAACGAAATGACAGACTCATTATTTTGATTTTTGCCACGCTGTCATGCCACATCATTCAAACTTAACGTTTTTTTTCTTAATATTTAACAAAAATGATTAATTTGGATAACAAAATAATTTTTAAGGGACTAAAATGTAACGTTTATTAAATAAGAGACTAAAGTGAAATTTAAAATTAAGTTAAGAGACTTCAAAACTAATTAAACCTACTATAATTATTCAATTTCTTAATATGTGTGAAAACTGAAAAATTACTTATAATAAAACTAGATGGAGTACTACATCCGTTATTTTTAAATGTCACTTTTTGATTTTAGAAAGTTAATCAATATTGTTACTTTTCATACAATAATTATTTTTTTACCTATAATATCATTAATTATTTATTATATTTATTTTATTTTTTCTCTTTCTATAATAATTATTTAAGAATAATTTTGACAAAAATATATTTAATACTATTTTAAATTTTTTAAATAATAATTAAAATAAAATAAAATAAATTATTTAAAAAGTGACATTTCTAAAATAACAATGGAAGTATTAAATAAGAAGGGTCTAGTAGACTCCTCATTAAACCAAATTACAATAACATATTGTTATTAAACATTAAAAGACTTAAATTTAAGGTATACCTTTCCAGATAGTATGCGGTATTTCAACTAGACAATAAAAGAATAAATAATGTTAATGAATCTAAGTATTGTTTAATTAAAAAAAAAGAGAGTAAATTTATGTAAAAAATAATAATACAGTTTATATTTTCAAGAAAGATCTAAAGAAAATACATACACAACACATTTAGAAATTTTTATCAAAATATTTAAGTTTTTCAAAAAAAATTCTTAAAATACTTCACATTTCAAATTATTTCTCAAAGTACCCCAATTTGGAGTACTGGTTACATGATGACATCATGTGGTTGGGGACCCTTCACAAGGGTTCGAAGGGTGGCGCCAATTGGATTGGAGACACCTCATGGTGTCTCCAATCCAATTGGCGTCTGAGTTTAAAACTTACAAGGGAGTCGCCAATTGAGATGAAGACAACCTTGAAAGTGAATTGTTTTTCTATAAATAGAGGTGTTATGATAATTTGGTTCCACAACTCATTTCATATCTTTGTTCCACTGATAACATGTATCATCGTCAGTGGAGAAAAATGGTCTATTCGAGAGAGATGTCTCCGATGGACATGTTATTTTGGAACATTCAAAGTTTCAATCAACTTAAGAGGGAGCTGAATCGGTGGTTAGAAGGAGACATTGGTGAAGGGGAAAAATTGAAGTAACGGGAGATTTGATTGCCCGCGTGGATGGGTTTGCGTTAAGATTGACAAAGATGCGAGGGAAGTCATGTTTGGAGCGAATGAAATTAGTTTGATTGTTGTAATCAGTCAGAAATGTTTTATGTTTATATTCCGTTATCTGTTTTATGTGTCGTATGTGTTATCTGTTGTTAGTTCGCGGTATGTGTTGTTTGTTATTAACATTGTTGTAACAAAGACTCATTAATACATGAAAACATTAGGTTACAACAATTGACAGGATAAACTACATCATGATGCAAAGGTTGCTCCGACATTGAGACAATTTTTTCGGTTGTGTCCGAGCTGACGATATATACTGCATAATCTTATCATTTTATCAGCCGTATCCATTTAGGTCCTTATACACTTGCTGTTTGGGCATCCTTTTTTCTTTTTTCGCATCTCATCGTTGCGCCAAACTGTGTCCCTTTGGTATGGAGGCCAATATTCCTTCATTGGTAGCACTGCGAAACCTTTGTTGTAGACATTCATAACATTAATCGCCTTGTAAACATCAGATAGATGACTATAAACATCCTGACGAGCATGTCCGCATGCCACAATGACATGTGAGCAAGGTATACAGAAGGCCTGGTACTTGCCACAATCACACCAATATCTGTTTAGTATGACGTTATATGATACATTTGGCCTCCCCTAATTATGCTCCATAATTTCTTGTACACTAAAAGTTTACCTATGACGGTCAAAGACTATAACTGCATGTGTGTTGACTTTGATGGTATCCTCTTTCATCACCTTCATTATGCTTTCACTGAATACTTGACCCGAAATTAACACAGCACTCCATCTTTTGCCTCTTGTTGCAAAAAGTGATGCCAACCTATAATAGGTTGATCTAACCAAAGTGGTCATTGGAGGGTTTCTAATTCCTTTGAAGAACCCGTTCATGGATTCCACAAGGTTTATCGTCATGTGGCCTCAACGACATCCACCATCAAAAGCCCTTGTCCAATTTTACAATGGAATGTTATCCAAACATCTTCCTGCATCTGCATTTGGCATCCTAATTTCGTTAAGGTAGTATTGAAATGATGGTTGAGTTAGAACATACCCGTCATTCATAACTTTTTTGCGAAGGTTCTTGTCTTTGATTGCACACATGGAGTTTTATGCAATATGTCTAATATAATATACATGGGTAGAAGAAGGATTATGCCACCCGTTATCATGGTTATTGTAAGCACTCTCTATAGCAGCATGCCTGTCTGAAATCAAAATGAGATTGACTTGTGGAGTGACATGTGTTCTGAGATTCTTAAGGAAGAAACTCCAAGCAGAAGCGTTCTCACCCTCAACCAGAGCAAAGCCTATGGAAAAGACATTATTGTTGCCGTCTTGTGCAACAACCATAAGCAAGGTGCCCTTGTATTTTTTGTAGAGTCATGTTCCATCAATTTGAGTAACAGGTTTGCAGAATGCAAAACCTTTTATGCATGGTTGAAAATACCAAAAAAGACGGTGAAATATGACATTTCCATCAACAATAGTTCCATCTAGCCTACATGCCGA